AATCCATATACGAGTGATTGATGCCATCTATTACACGCTTTGAATCAGTTTTATCGCTATAATATCACTGAAGGGGGCTTTAGGTTTGCTCTGCGCAACACTAAACACTAAATACTGAACACCCAGACAGTGATGGTGATGACTTTGACTATTTTTAACGGCAAAGTGTTTTGTCACATTCATTGTAGTTAGAACATAATATAAACGGTTAGGAGCTTTTTAACTCCTTCACCCTTGCACTGCGAAAGCAATGTACGATACCGTAAATAAATTTGTGTAATTAAAGCTAACATCATTTTTACACTCATTTTTGTTTATTTTCTTGAGGATAATTTTTATTTAGAGGCCACACTGCATCGTAAGCATTTCCTTGGGTAACTCTTGATTATGGTTACGATAATTTTATTATTTGGGTCATGTAAATTATTTGTAATGACTGAAAAAAAATTTTCTCACGCTTGGAAATTAACTTTACTTTTTTTTCCCTAATCCATTTTTTAATAGTGAAGATTTTATCAAAGTAGGGCGTGAAATATTCCCAAAAGCACTTAAACAGACAATAATTTAATTAAATTTACAAATGAACTGCACATAGATGTTAAAAATGACTGTCAAATCGTAACACCCCCCGCCGTGAGCCGTTGGGTGATCATCAGGGCGTGATTCTGGAGCGAATGGAGCCTTATGTACTAAAAAGCACAAAGCATAACAAAAAATCAATTTCCCTTGTATCCTCTAGCAAAAAAGCACCAACCCGTAAAAGAGTCGATCTCTGCTTTCTGCACATGTGTCCATATTATATTCTCTGTTTATATTCGAGTGTAGCACGATACGCCAGTACGACAATAGGGTGATCTCTGGTCCAGCGATGCTCATACAGCCATTCCACACATCCCATGGAAATGGGACACGGAAATGCATAACCACGTTTATTCGCAAAGCACTCGCGTTTGAGATTGCTCTTGTAATGCTCGAGTTTGGTTGAAAGTTTGTCTCTGTTCATCGCTTTCTCTTCTGCATTACACAAAATTACACTGGATACAACGCGGCTCCGGTTGTATCCATCCCTTTTTGATCCTCCGGCTCTCCGCAGACTAGCCCTCCAGCTTCTATATTATATTCAGGTTCATTTCAGCCAGAACCTCCATGTTATCCGTCCTTTTACCTCATCTCTACTTCAGCCATTTCTCTTCATCGCATTAATTTAATCAAACGACGCATTTCTGCGCTGATGTGATGGGATGTCATGTCATGATAATTACACGCTGCAATAGTATGTAGAAAGTTACAATTGTCATGTGGTTACTTTCATTTTGCGTTCTGTCCACATTTGCGAAATGTGTTGCGTTCATTTCCGTTTGTGCCATAGAAGAGCATTACATAAATTTGTTTTAAGGCGATTAAGCGGGCAAATAAACTGACAAATCAATTTGATGTTGATAATTCTCATATAGAATGTTTGTGAACCTTTAATGAATGCATCATTCAAACTTTAGAGGGATTTTGCTGGAGCTCCTTCAATAATATTGAAGCTTTTTTCATGGAGAATTCTTCTAAAAGTGCTGCATGATTTGCACCAAAAATGCAACTTTTGGTTCAAGTTATTTCTTTCTTCTAATGTTGATGGCAGATAGACGATAAAGGACGGGGGACGGAAGATTGCAGATAGAAGATACTATAAAGCTTCGAAGAAAGGGAGGGAATAAACTTGGAAGAAGAGTGTGATGCCTGAAACTGAGGAAAGGATCGGTGCACCGTGTCGAGCCCTTAATCGCGAGAATTCACTCGACTGGGAAATTACATCCACCCGTAGTTACCTACGACTGCTAGAAGGTACGGAGCTGGAGGAGAATTAGAATGGGAAGTTGGAACTGGGAATTAGGAAGGAGAACTAGAACTAGAACTAGAACTAGAACTGGTAGGACGTGGTAGTCTCTTACACGTCACTATCACAGTTGTGCGAATCTTGATTCTTGAGTCTGGTAAGATTCTATTCGTTTTGGTCTTACGGGGACGAGGGTGGCTGGAAACTTGACTGGTGGATGCAGGCTCCAGTTTTGTGTGTGTGTGTGTGTGAACACGAGTCGGAAAATCAGAGGGATTCATCTGGAAGATAAGACACGCCGAAAAGTTTAAGCCGGCGGATCCTCCAAGTGCGCCGTTATATGTTCTGTGCTCTATGGGCTAGTAATATAATCGTTTTATTTTCAGTCAGTAAATTATGTTAATTAAAAATAGTTTAATTACTGAAAATTTATAAAGATTTATCTGTAGTCGGTGAAATATAAATGGGAGCCAATATTAACTTTCTCCTCAAGTTAAAACTTTATAACTTTTTTTTAAAGTTCGTCAAGCTAATATTAATCTTCTCAAAGTGCATATGTATCTTTCTCAACATTTTTAATGACTCAAATATTCAAATTTAATATCTGTTAATTAAAAAATTCTGATGAACTAAGCCGGAATTATTTATTTTGTTTTTAAGGCTGTTTATTTAAATTGCTTTTTAAATATTAAAAAAAAAATTTGCAATTACTATTGTTTAAAATGGTATTAAATACTTTTGATCCAAAAAATAGCGACTATTGAAAGTAACAAAATTCAAACTATACCGAGCGTCAAACTGGATCCCAACAATCGTTTGCAATAATTGTTTAAATAATCTATTGGTTAATACCAGAAACAATGTTATCGTCATTGGTGCATTGAAAATCCCCCACATAGACTCACAGTTGGGTTCTATTTAATAAATAAAATTGGCAAATGAAAATGAAACTGAAACTGAATATTATATCAAATTGAAAAGATTATCAGCGATGAATAGAACAAACTGAAACGGGAATACGGGAATATAAACACATGGTACCTCTGCCGGATAAATAATACAACATAATGCCGATCTGTTAATACGAGCGTGACTATTTCGAGTGTTTAAATATTCCGTTTGTAAAGTTGACTATGAATTAAATTTATAACTGAAATGATGGATTTTGTGCTCTCGCACGATGGATTTATCATTTTCGGCGCCTGCTAAATCGCCAATAGATTTATTATTTATTGTACTGATGATCGATATCGTGTTTTATGTCTATTAATGTATAATCCCTGTGATATATCGTACGGTAAAAAATGGATCGGCGTGCGTGTGTGTAAACTGATGTTCTGTTGTCTACGTCGACTAGCGTTCGCAGAGGCATTCATAACCACCAGTTTCAGGATATCAATTTTTTCGTTCAATAATCCACTAAAACGTCGAGTTCTCTGCTTGCAATCCGCCATATGGCGAGACTAGTTCAGCCAGATACAGACAACGGAGCAAGAGAGAAGAAGGGTACGCGCTCCATATTTTGTGTTGTGTTATGTATCTCTATATCTGTGTGATAGATAAATATATGTATAAAGACAGAAAGGGAAAGAGAAATAAAGGCCCTCGCGACTGGGCGGCGAATTGTAGAATACCCAGGATGTGCCTCGATACAATGGACGTCAGTTTTAGTTATGGCACGCCCGTCAACCTCGGAATCATCGAACGACGGGCCAATGTTCCGTTTAGCTAACCTAGCTTGGCTTATTTCGTGTTCATGTAGCACACAAGCACACATATATATATATATGTGGTGGGTGGAGGTGGATGTGTGTATAATATCAACAGAATGGAGTCGAGGAGAGACTACTCATCTCCATCGAGTGTGGAATCTACAGCACTTTAATTCACCGCTTTGACGTACACATGTTAGTGTGTGTGTGTGTGTGTGTGTGTGTGTGTGTGTGTGTGTGTGTGTGTGTGTGTGTGTGTGTGTGTGTGTGTGTGTGTGTGAGACCCCGCGAAAAGCATATCCACCCCTCGTGCTCAAAATCAGCTTTCCATTGTCCGCGATCGCATGCCCGTGTCAAGACCGGAAAATCCAGATACTGCTCGCACTCAAAACGTATGATCCAATATACGCACAATTATATTTCAAAGATTGTGTTTTACATTATTCTTTTCGGGGTATAATCATTTTGACAGCTGTTTACGAGGTGGTAATCGAATATTGCCAGTGGGGAGGTGCTATAGTTTTTTTTTTTTTTTTTCTATGATAGGTTCTTCTTTTATTTAAGATGATTTGAAATTTCTTTTTTCTCTTTAGGAAAAAAATTGAAAAAGTATAAAATTGTTTAAATAATATTCTGATGGTGGAAAAATTATAAAATTGGCTTGATATATTCAAATTTGATTACATATTAGCTAAAAGGCCTATATATAATTTTTTGACGAAAATTAGTTTTGAAAATCTCCAACAGATGGCGTATTGTCGCTAAGTTGTCTCATTACAAGAGAGTTCACTTTTAAAATATATATATATATA